TTTTTCAGTGGGAAGTAAAAATAAAAAACTAAAATAATGTGGTTGCATTAGTGTGCACACCCTTAAACTAATATTTTGTTGAAGCACCTTTTGATTTTATTACAGCACTCAGTCTTTTTGGGTATGAGTTTATCAGCAATGCACATCTTGACTCTGCAATATTTGCCCACTCTTCTTTGCAAAAACGCTCCAAATCTGTCAGATTGCGAGGGCATCTCCTATGCACAGCCCTCTTCAGATCACCCCACAGATGTTCAATCGGATTCAAGTCCGGGCTCTGGCTGGGCCATTCTAAGACTTTTATCTTGTTCTGGTTAAGCCATTCCTTTGTTGATTTGGATGTATGCTTGGGCTCATTGTCGTGCCGTAAGATGAAGTTCCTCTTCATCTTCAGCTTTCTAGCAGAAGCCTGAAGGTTTTGTGCCAATATTGACTGGTATGTGGAACTGTTCATAATTCCCTCCACCTTGACTAAGGCCCCAGTTCCAGTTGAAGAAACACAACCCCAAAGCATGATGCTGCCACCACCATGCTTCACTGTAGGTATGGTGTTCTTTTGGTGTTGTGCAGTGTTATTTTTGCGCCAAACATACCTTTTGGAATTATGGCCAAAAAGTTCAACCTTGGTTTCATCAGACCATAGCACCTTTTCCCACATGCCTTTGGGAGACTTCAAATGTGTGTTTGCAAAATGTAACCGGGCATGGATATTTTTCTTTGTAAGAAAAGGCTTCCGTCTTGCCACTCTACCCCATAGCCCAGACAAATGAAGAATACAGGAGATTGTCGTCACATGTACTACACAACCAGTACTTGCCAGGAATTCCTGCAACTCCTTTAATGTTGCTGTAGGGCTCTTGGCAGCCTCCCTGACCAGTTTTCTCCTTGTCTTTTCATCAATTTTGGAGGGACGTCCAGCTCTTGGTAATGTCACTGTTGCACCATATTTTCTCCACTTGATGATGACTGACTTCACTGTGTTCCATGGTATATCTAATGCCTCTTTTGTACCCTTCTCCTGACTGATACCTTTTAACAATGAGATCCCTCTGATGCTTTGGAAGTTCTCTGCAGACTATGGCTTTTGCTGTAGGATGCAACTAGGAAAATGTCAGGAATAGCCTACTGGAACAGCTGAACTTTATATGGGGTTAATCAGAGGCACTTTAATTGATGGCAGGTGTACTGAGTCCTATTTAACATGAGTTTGAATGTGACTGCTTAATTCTGACAACAGTCACAGCCCCACAGTAAGAGGGTGTGCACACTAATGCAACCACATTATTTTAGTTTTTTATTTTTACTTCCAACTGAAAAACAGATTTCAGTTTGTTTTCAATTGAGTTGTACAAGTTATAGGTCACATTAAAGGTGGCTAAAGTTCTGGAATTATTTATCTTGGTCTCGTTTTTTTAAATCACAGAAACCTGGCATTTTAACAGGGGTGTGTAGACTTTTTATATCCACTGTAGTTGCCCCACTGTAATATAAACTTTAGTTTCTAAATAAAAAACAAACATTTCCCTTTCCTCTTTCAGTTACACAAGCAGGTCAGTATTTGCACCCTCAACAGTGATTGAGGATGGCTGCACTTCATTTTTAACAGTAGGTGTCACTAGTGAATGCTGAGTCAAATGGGGCTTGGAGTAGATATGATTCCACAATGTGGAAATTCCTGTGTTCCAGCAGCAATAGAGAACAGCAACAATACACCATAAGAACAAACACCACACACAAGAAACAAATTCCAAAGTACCTAAAACCAAACAGAATATAGTATTTGAGAGAAAATCAAGAACAAGATTGATCCTCCAACAATTAATCCCTGAGAACAAATCAAAAATACCTAAGAACAAGACAAGATATAGTATTCAAGAGAGATTAAGAGACCCCCCCCTTACCGCTCTCTGCCATGTTTCGATCTGCACAAACTAGGGTAAATCCATGTAGGGGGACCACAGAATCAGAAGTGTCATTGTTCAGCCAGGTCTTGGTGAAGCGCAGAAGGGTACTCTCTCTGTACACCTGTTGCTGTCTCGTTAGCGCCGTTAGCTCGTCCATCTTGTTGGAGCCTGGACGTTTCCCATAACGACAGATGGTAGGCATGGCTTATACCTTCGTTTCCTCTCCCGGTGCTTTACGCCAGCTCTGCAGCCCCGCATTTTACATCGTATCTGAGGGAATCTCCAGCTTCTCCCTGTAAGGAAGCCGGACATGGCTGAGGGCAAGCAGCTGATCTTGAGAGTAAATAATGGGGCCGCTGCTCCCAGAGTCATCTGACCCTGGAACTTGCGAAAGAGTATAAAACATAATGCAAACGCAATAAAAACTTGTACTCCTAGTAGCACAGCTCCACAGAGGCCTACAGAGAGAAGTATAACACAAAGCAAACACGGAAAACTTCAGAAAGCATGGAAAAAACACAAAAGAGGACAGAGCTGCTGAAACTCGCTGCCACTCCGTGTGGCGCCGGAAGATATTAATGGAGTAATGTACCTTTTGATGATGCAATGGACTGCAAAGTCTCATTGCTTCAGGAAAGCCTTGTTTGGCCATCACTACTCGCGTAGTATTTTTTGTACAAATGAACATCGCTCTAGAGCTCTATGTTTGTGATGAGCAGTCACTGGCCACATAAACCTGACTAGTATTTGATTGTTTGCTGTGTCTTGTTGCTTTTCTTCTGTTGTCTCTCCTCTATCCACTCACCCCAACCGGTCGAGGCAGAAGGCCGCCCAGCAAGAGCCGGGGTCTGTCGGAGGTTTCTTCTGTTAAAGAGAGTTTTTCCTCCCCACTGTCACCAAGTGCTGCTCGGGGGGATTTGTTGGGTTTTTCCTCTATAATATTAATAGTGAGATCTAGACCTTACTTTGTAAAGTGTCTTGAGATGACTGTTGTTGTGATTTGGTGCTATACAAATAAAGTTGTTTTGAATTGAATTGAAAGTGTCCACTTGGACTCTACAATGAACTGATTAGATTTTGGTGGTTAAAGGTCAAGGTCAGTGACCTCACCTCTGTCCCATCCCCATGAATCTTACTGGTTGGCGGAGGCTTACAACTGCTAAGCAGCAATTCCATTATTGGTTTATTTTGATTTTGGTCTGTTTCCTCTGGCACTGTTCTTTTCGGTTGCAAGCGTTTTTACTTGTTTGTTCAGACTCTTCATGTAACTCTGAGCTTTATGGTTTCACTCTACCCCGCCCACTGTAGCAAGCTGGAAAAAATCAATAAAATCCCTGATTGAATCCATATGTAGGAATGTGCTGATTCCTTTGAGATAACCCTACATGAAAACCTTTTTGTCCAGTACATTTCTGATGTTGGTCAGTCTGTTGAAGATACAAGGAAAAGATGCGAGAACAACATGGATGCAATTCAATCTCCTGTCTGACTGCAATGTCACAGGGTAACGGTGATTATGGTCCCATTTCTGATGGCAATTTCCTAGTGTCCCCTCTCTGACTGCCTGTTGTTTTTGGTCTCAGACATCCCCGTGTGGTCGAAGCTTCAGTCGGGTTATGTCCCTAACATCCAGGAGATCTTTCAGATCCTTGACAACCACCTGAAGATGAACCAGGGAGATCACATGACCGTCTCCTCCACTTAAAGATGCTCACGCAGGTGATTTGAGGCAGGTAAACTGCTACAGCTGGGCCTCAGGTATATTGGTTTTTACAGTCATGTGACCTGCAGTGTGTCACGAATCTCAAAGTTCTCTGCCACTTATTTGTCATTTTGCATCTCTGCATTTGTTTTGTGTCTCATTGTGTACATCTCTCTCTCTCCTCAGCCATGCTGCATTCAGGTGTCCTGGCTTAGTGGGATGTTCAGCTGGTGGCGTTTATGAAGGTCCGGCCCTAAAGCAGACTCTGTGGGGCCCGGCTGGATGTCCTTCGCCACAAAATAAGCAAACCCTCTGGTCCGGGTCACAACTCAGCACTACAGTACCACACGTCAGCAGGTGGAGGCAGCTGTGCTCACAGACCGCTTTGGACTCTACTGGACAGATGTTTTATTTATTCAGTATGAGGTTCAGCAAGGACAAAACTAAACAATGGTACTACTGTTATCTTTGTGCTAACAGAAATAAAATATAATTAAATAATTAAAATCTGGTTTAAATAAAGAGTTTGCCCTCACTGTCAGTGTCTTATTCATTCAACCTCTAAAATGTCTGAGGTCAGAATAAAACACCAGAAGTTTGACTGTGGCTATATTTTACAGCATAAAAACAGCAAAGTCAAAGCTCCGCTCGTTTGTATCTCATTATAAATTTGTACTTGAAATTATTCATACTTAACAGATTCAGTTCATCAGTCATCATGATTTATTAGGAATTGTATCTTATTGTAGCAAAGGCTGGGTGGAATAGTGAACCAGAGACTAGAACTGCCTTTTTTATGCACTCGTCAAACCCCATACAATACACATGAACTGCCTATAATCAGGGTGACAAAGGAAACCACCACACATGACTAAGCTAACACTAGACAGGGTGAACATACATAACTAGCAGAAACACATACAGAACTAAAAAAAACACATCACAGAACCAGTTGAACAAAACAATAGCTCTGGAACAACAGTCTCTAACCCTTGGGGCATGCCAGGGACCCCACCCCACATTTTATATAAAAGTATATGCAAATATTTGATGCAGATTTAATTTCTTGAATGTTTCCTGTGTTTTATTTAGCAGGTGTGCCCTTTAAAGCAGCATTAACTAACCTGTCCCTCAAATATTTGACCGCTAAGAGTGCAGTGAGAGTCCAAACAAACTCCAGTAGTGTCCCTGCTCTTTCCCCCCTCCTGCCCTGCCTCCGAAACTACATCATATGTGGTCTCGACAGCCGGACAGTGGTGGTTCTACATTGAATTACTCCCCAGGCAAGACCCCCCCCTCTCAGAG